GTTGATAGTCAAAATGCCCAGCTATAAGAGTCATATGTGAGAAACTCAAGACTAACTGGATACTTGCGGTGAAATCTTCCAGGGAAGTTGAAAGCAGGTTGGTTTTGGACTTCAGTTTGAAATGTTTCTGAAATTAGGTCTAAAAATTACCTGCTTATTTTGGGCCTCTTTAATAAAACCCTTCAGTTCAGAACAGACATTGCCTTGTCTGATCAAGTTGTGTTCAGTCCATTCCTGCATTTCAGCTGCAGCAATCATGAACCTTGATGCTTTAGTAAGAGTGATGCTTCTATTTTATCCTTGCATGAGACAGCCTATTAGAGACAGGATTATACCAGGTTTAAAGTCTCACACCTTGGCACACGCAGTTTTTAAGTCCAAGTTTTGTGACTGAACAATTAATTGTGCATACTTGTTTTATCTAGTGACTTTAGGGTCAGTGACCCCTTTGAAAAATTAGTCATAAGATTTTTTTTTTTCTGCAATAACTGTTTCTATTCTTAAAATATTTATAATGGAAATTATTTAAAGAGGTCCCTTTATGTAAAGGGATATTTGCCAAACTGCATGGGAAGCAGTGATTATGAGATCTATTTGTAAGTTGCTTGTTTCTGTAAGAGAATCCAACAGGATTTATGTCCCCTTTGGAAAGCAAACTAGAACTTACAAGAGGAACCAAATCTGACTATATTTTGGCAGGATCCTCTTCTGGCATTCAGATCCATTAATCTGCACAATCTTATAGTTTCTAAACTCTTCTACTCATTCAGTGTCCAAATCACATATGAGATTCCCTCTGCCATGAAGAGTCCTCTTCTTTGACAGTGAGAATTCGAATCATAAAATCGTAGAACAGCTTGGGTTGGAAGGGCTCTTAAAGAACATCTTGTTCCACCCCCTGCCATGGGCAGGGGCACCTTCCAGTAGACCAGGTTGTTCCAAGTCCCATTCAACCTGGACTTGAAGATTTTCAGGGGTGGGGCAGCCACAGCTTCTCTGGGCAACCTGTGCCAGGGCCTCACCACCCTCACAGGGAAGAATTCACAGTATCTAACCTAAACCTACCCTCCTTCAGTTTAAAGCCATTCCCCTTGTCCTGTCACTCCATGCTCTTGTCAAAAGTACCTCTCCATCTTTCTCTTGGAACCCCTTCAGGGACTGGAAGGTTGGAGTGAGGTCTCCCCAGAACATTCTCTTCTCCAGGTTGAACAGCCCCAACCCTCTCAGCTGAATGCCCTCCCTTGCCAAGGCTCCAGAATTTGTCACAGTGTTAAATATCAAATGACAGAAAAGAATGAAACTCTGGTAATGGTGATACTGGCATCAGCAAAGAGCACTGACAGCTCTGTGCATCTAGTGAGGTTCTCAAGGAACCTCAAATCTTCAAAGTTCTATTAGGATCTTTCCTATTCTGCCCCAAATAGAGTTTCAACCTGCACACTGTGATTTTAAATACATTTTCCTGCCATTGTGGAGTTGGTGAAGCTACTGCAAGTTCAGAAGCAATTGTAGACATCAGAAAGGAGCGTGAAGGTCTGAGTGAGGAGCTGTCCAGCCTTGCAGAGGTTTTTAGATGGCTAAATATCTCTCTTAGGCTGACTTTTAAAAATGCTTTTAAGGAGATTTACATAATAGTTCCCCTCCAAGTGCAGAAGGAATATGTCTCAAGATTAATGTTGCAGAATTTATAAACAATGCCTGTACTGATGACTGATGCCTGACTATTGATGGCAACCAGTCAGAGGGTTAGTGCTCAGATTATTCCAAGGCTCTTCTCCAGAAGTGTTTTCTTACTTTGTCTTCTGAATCTGGCCACTATTTGATAGAAGACCCTCCATAAGAAAACCTGTTTTACTAAATACTGGCATAACCAAATAGAAATGGAAAAGATACACGAACAGAAATAGGCTTTTGCATCTAATGAAGATAAGCAGAATATTTACCATAAGCACCTCACTAGAGCTATCATATATTGTCACTCTCCTTCAATAAACAGTTGGAACTTAAGGCTTAAATTCAAGAAAGGTTTAACAAAAGCACTGGATAGTATGAAGATTTGACTAAATTAGCTAGGTAATAAATCTGCCTAATTTCATTCTAACGTAAACCAGACATCAACTTCATAAATGCAAGGAAATGCAGTAATTTTCCCTCAGGCAACCAGGCCAATTTGTGGGAGTGCTGTGTGGGTAAGGAATGGATGTACCTTGTTTGCAAGTATATGGTGTTGAAATAGTTCCCCTCGTTGTTTATACAGCAGATTCAGCAGCTATTCTGTGTAAGAAACCTGACATGTACTTCAGGATCAGACATCATTAGAAGAAACAGCTATGTTTTAGAAAAATCTGTCTCACTTTGGAGAAGAATTAGTGCAACAGAAACGATCATTTTTTTCTAGGTGGACGATAGGGTTGGCACATTCCTGGTGAAAGGCAATGGGTGGGATTCAAACAGCTTGTAGGGTTTGGAGGTCAGGAATGCTCCTGAGACATTGCAGATTTTGTCAGCTCAGCAACTCCTCTATTAAAACAAATAAACAAAGAAAAAACCCCACAGTTGCAATGTTACTAAAGTGCAAATTTGTATGAGTTGTGGTATGTAAAGTTCAAGCTGAAACATAAAGCATGCTTCAGCAGTTTACATTAAATGCAATACTTCAAATCTGGATACTTTAGTATAGCTACAAAATGAAAGTAGGAGATGATAATCTTCAAAATCCCCAAGGCTGCTTTTTTCTTGAGCAATTTCAACCAAGACTTTAATCAGGACAAGTAAATGGGTGAAAAAGCCTTTAGGCATATATAAAACAAACCAAAAATCATAGTGACAAATCTCATGCAATGGACAGGATCGGATGATACATGCAACCCTGTCAAAATCCTTTTTTACACTAAATTAAACAAGTCTCTGGGCATGTGAGCTCAAGCATGTGAAGAAGCGAGCAAATGTTTCCAGAGAAGTTTTTTCATAACCTGTTGAGTTTGTTCTTTTAGTTGGCTTTAGCATAAGATGCCTAAAGCTGTCTAGGGTACAAAGTAACAGGTGCTTAAAAACTATAGAGTAGTTATGGAGAAGGCAAGATCTGAGGTCAGATCTCTACATTTTAAAATAGTTTTTTCTCCTGTCATGCTGTCAGTCATATCTCTATTAGTGGTTGGTACCTAAAACCAGAAGGACTGCATAAAGAGTATAATGGTGTAAACCAATTGTTCCCTGATGTATAAAGGGGGAAAATAATGTTTGACCCCTGTGAGCTGACTGGCGTATGTCTGGAAGTATGAGATTTAATTAAACAGATGGTAGCATACATTACTGCTTTAGAAATGTGATTAATCATTATAAATGTTCTAGGTCCTTTAAAAGAATGACTAGAGCATCTGGCTATGCACACTGCAACCGTGTACACCCACCTGACAGGAATCCATCTCCATAACATAGATGATACTTGTGTTTATGTTAATTATTCTGAATCTTTATGCTTCGGTTGAACGGACAAGTTCTGGCACATTCTTTTAAATAAGGCAGACTCATTCTAAAGTTAGACTGCATTGAGATTCTTTCTGCTGGTAAATTTTAGCATCAACAAAAAATATGTAGCGAAAAAAATCCAACCCTAACCCACCAGTTTTCAAGAAGCCTGGAGATGAAATTTGATGTAGAGTTTTAGACTAGGAAAAGGCAAACTGCCTTTGGCTGCTGTGGGGATACTTTTCTTCACTGAATCATTTGGTCAGTCAGAAGCCACAACATGCAAATCTCAGGCAAGTGCATTAACATTATTCCTGACGTATTCTGGGTGACTGTGATCACCAGCTCTTTTCAAAACAGCTCTCATGTTACACATACTGTTGATCCAAATTTATCAGCAGTCAATGAACAGAAGAACTTCCTGGCTGCAGTTCTCTGCCTTTCATGTATGTCACCCTAACACTCCTTACCACAGACCAGGTGTCTGAGGAGTATTCCTTATGCAGGAGCTTGACAAGTGCCCAACAACCTGCCTGTTCTTCTGAGGAGGAAGCATCAATTCAGGAGGAGCTTGCTACTGCTGGTCAGCTCCTTCTGGTGGATACCTTTGTTTATGAACTTGGTGATTTATTTGCTTCAAATAGATATTATATTTTTTAGTCTTCTATATTTATCCACATTCCGTCATTTAGTTCCATCTGCTGTACATGGGAAATGGAGTCTTTATTTTAGAATCCAAACTGCTGTCAGCTTGAGGCTTTCAGAGACTGAGTGTTTAGGGATGGACAGAAGCCTTGTTTTCAGTCTGTTCTCTGAAGTGCATTCTACAATTCTGTGAATTTATGTCCTTTTTACTTAATTCATTTGTGTTCTCTAATTGCACATTGCTGGCTGACATCCAAGTTACACAACAAACATGCAGGAGATGTTTGGTGCCTTGCAGGATGGGGAGGTGTCCATGCAGCTCTCTGAGATTCTTCTTCTTGGGAACGTTTAAATCATGGTCAGAGAAATAAGGGGTAAGACAAGCCTGAGACTGAATGGCAGCCATCAGGACAGAGCCAGTGTTGAAAAACAAGTACTGTAGACTTAACTGATAACCCACCTCTGTAGGTGTCTATACGTTTTCATTTGCCAAAGTCACATTGAGAGCCAGGGGTACTCAAAGCAGCCAGTTTGCTCTGTTTCTCTTGCTCAGCAGATCAATGGATTAATACTCTCTATCATTTTCATATGACTCTGAAAGGCTTACAGAAATAAACTTGCTGTAGAGGATCACCTTCCAGTTTCTGTGCATTTATAAATGCCATCTGTTCATATCTGAGAGCTGGGTGTTATGGTAACCTGAGTTTTTAAACTTGAGCTAATTGCAGAGTACATGCCCATACTCAGGGAGCACATATGCATGTGGGTGAATAATGCTGGCACAAGGATGGGGACAGGGAAAATCCAGAATATGGGAAGCCTTTGAATGATCTCTCTTTCCACAGTGGTCCGGTTGGAAGCAAGGAGGTCGTCTCCTCCACAAGCCCAGCAAGCAAGGAATGTTACTTGTAGTACTGCCAGATGCCCAGAGGCCAGGTAAAAATGACTCTGCTTTTTTTGACCATGTAAATTGAACTTTGGGGAGAAGATGAGGGCAGGGTGAAGCCTCTATGTCAAAATTTTACTTTTCATGTAAACTTTGAGATACCTTGTGTGTGATTGAATGTGAAAGAGCCACCAGTTCGTTCCATCTGTACAAAGAAAAGCTCTTGATTACTGTGGCCATGGAGTGAATTTGAATCACCCTGCACAAAACTCCATGTGCATTTACTGAACTTATAAGGTTATTCTTCATAGAAAGTAAATTGGCATATGTACATAGAATTTTCCCAAATGCCTTGTGCTTTTTAAAGTGGCTTTCAGCATGTGGCCATGTAGATCTAATAGAAGTTAATAAAACAATTTCCAAAAGTTGGACAGGTACACAGCCTCGTTCCCCAAAGTGGACTCTGGTATTAGCTGTATCCTGCTGCTGTTTTCCTGCTTTGTGTGTCCATTAATTATGGATCAATTATTCAATTCTTTAGGAACTCAGGTGATAGCTGGGCTACTGAGTTGTGAAATTAAAGCAATGCCACAGTGAACAGGAAAGAACATGCATTTACTTCAGAACCATCCTCCTTCTATACTAATATTCCTGGGACAAAAGCATTTTTCTTCAATCAATAGTTAAGCCGATTCCTGTGATTGTCCTTTTCCCCACACTGCTTCCAACTCTTCTAGCATATCATTTATCAAGGCCTTCTTTCTGAGTAACAATCTTTCTATATCATTTATCAAGACCTTCTTTTTGAGTAACAATCTTTCCACATTTTTTAATGGCACAATCAAAATCTGAAAGCCAAATGCCTGTTATCATCACAGACACAATTCACTCTGCTCTGTGTTTCCTAAACAAAGCACAGCACAATTATCAAAAGGACAACTTCTTTACAAAGTGAATCTTGAACTTCAGTCAAATTTAGCCACTGAGGATCAGCTCAACAAATAGAGTATTAATTTTCTATTTGACAGGCTGGAAAAAGTGTCAATCCAAACCAAGAGCAGCAGCTTCTCAGCTACTGGGACCAGGAGGAGCAGCACCCTCCAACACAGCTCATTTTGCAGTCACTCTCTTGCTTATGATTTCAATTCAATTCCTTTAATATGTGGCTGGTGAAGTCAGTTCCTCTTTACCTTTGGGGAGTGAAATTTCTGGTGACAAGTCTTTCATTAGTAAGAATTGTTTGCTTTTGAAAAATGCTCTCTAGTGTAAGAACCTGAATAAATTTGAACACAAATATTTACACAAAATCAAACTATGCTAACAAATGAAGATAATGGCCTGTTTTTCATTGCCTTACCCTTTGTTCAGTCATCTACATCAATCAAGTTAATCAATTAAGCAAATTACAGGAAAAAATCTAAGACTTTATAGCTTTTTTGCATAGGAAAGAAAGGGAAATTAAGTTGATATTGTTTTCAAATATCTGTCCTTCTGCTAAAGTGCCAGGTCTTTACAGAGTGCTGTATTCAATGCCCAGCCTCCCTGCTAATAACTGCTGTATTGTAAGTTATGTTTAATAATGCAGCATGAAGTCATGGCTGTATACATAGGGAGGAATGTCTGTGCTGCTGAGAAACAACCTGCTGGTGTCAGAATTCTTTAAAACCTCAGGACAAGGGGTGTAAACCAGTTTGTGCCAAGGTTTCCTCCAGTTCTATTACAAAATGCTGCTTCTGTGGTATGTAACAAAGGGTTATTCACACCACCCACCTGAGGCTGCCTTGGACGTTTCAGCAAAAGGCTGCTTAGAGCACCCAAATTTGGGACCCAACCTTAGTCTATGGTTAGTGAAAAAAAATTAAGGGCTTCTATTTCATTTCTGACACCAAGGTTAGACATCAGATGCTGTGCACATTTAAAAAACTCTTTACTCTCTAAATCTTCCAGTTGCAAACATTTCATGTTTGGCTCTTGCCAAATCTTTCAGCTTATCTTAGTGTTCAGTCTCGAAAGTATAATTTAAATTTGTGACCCAGAAGGCCAGGCTATAAAAAAAGTTGATTTTCTTGGGTTTTTTTCTTGCTAGGTTACCTGGCAATTCCAACTTGAGTAAAGCAGAGCCGTGGCCTGAAAGACATGTTTGTGATTCAAGTTTGTGTAGGAATAAAAATGATTTCTGGACTTCTTGGGGTTGGTTTGGTTTGGTTTGGTTTGGTTTGGTTTCCAGAGAGGCTATCATGACCTTCTGTGATGGGAAACATTGTCTTCTCTCATATGGTCTGTGAAGGTGTGAAGTATATAAAATGAAAGCTCAAAGTGTCTCTTTTCTACCTTTTTTTTGGGGGGGTTGCATTTTAAATGGCAAGACAACTTACTTCAGGGTAGTCACGTAGCAATGTTTTTTGGGTTGTGCAAGTAGCCTGCAATACTGTGCTGTTTTGTCTGGGCTTGTACATATGATACTTTCAGTTCTCCCTGAGTGGGAAGCAAGAGTGTGCTCTAGGAATTCAGAGCAACTTTTTGGTTGCATGACTGACATAGAGTTACAACATAGAGAATTTTTTTTAATTGAAATCTTTAACCTGTGAAAAAACTGGGCTGAAAGTTAGTTTGTCAATTTAGAAATGAAAGGGTAAAGCTTCCCTTCGTTTATTTTGAAAACTTCAGCCTACACATATTTGCCAGTTTCTTCCAAAAAATACTGCTCAGGTGTAATAGCTGCCAAAGGATGGTGAGATGGTGCTCTGCTCTGGTGGTTAGTCATTCATTGACAAACTGCCTGCTTTTGCCATGAGATATATATGGCTTTTAAAGAAAGAAAATTTAGGACCTTAGACTAGACAAGAGCAGCATAATGTGCTATTTCTCCATCTAATGAAAATGTCAGCTTCTGTGGCCACTCTTCCTTCTGCCCAAGAAATTCTGTGCCTTTGAAAGGCAGGAGTGTTTTATACAGGACAAATCTTATTAAAAGGACTCTTTCCCTCCTAATGGAATATTTCTTGAGGTCTTATATTATCTGTCTTTATGAGGTTCATCCCCACTCTCAGGGTCAGACTCATCCATCCTCATTGGTGGCCATACTAAGTGTCCATGTGTGGAGGTCCCTAGAAAGAAACAGACCTGGAGGGGACCTGAGCTTTGTTCATTCCTATGGTCTGTCTGGAAGGAACACCAATAAACTCAAGACCAGTCCCCTTCAGGTTTCAAATTCATATTCATGAGGTGAATACAGGCATCTTCAACTTACCTGTGCCATAAGGCATATTGATCCTATGGATGAGTTTGCCCAAATCTGCTACCAAACTAGAATTCATCTTGCAGCACAGGCACAGCAGGATCACCTACAGAAATCGGTTGGGAACTGCAGGAACCAGGGACTGCAAGCTAAGAAAACTTGCATCTTTAGACCTCAGTTCAGCAGTCCTTTTAATGGGGCCAATCATACCAGCTTCAAAAAGCACCTTGAGCAATTTAGATAAGCTATTTAGTAAGCAGCACTATTAATAGACCCTCTGACAGCCAAACGGGGATAACACTTCTCACGGCTATAAATTAGAGAGTTTTTTCCCTTTCTCATGAGGAGTAGTGGAATAGTGCTACCAACCATGGCAAACACATTCCCTGATTGCTTTTTCCTTTCTGTCTAACTTCAGAATGCATCACTTCGGGGACTGTGTATCACTTACTGAATTGCTCCTGTTTGCTCCCCCTGCTGCTGCCTGCTCTGTCAGCAGTCTGGGATCCAGCCGGTGACATTTTTCACTCCTTGCCTCAGAGGCACACGGTGCTGTCCTGCCCAGATGCTCGTGCACGCCTTCCTGTGAAGTCTAATGATAGAGCTGTTCAGCTGAGTGATACTCGTAGCAAGAGGGGCAGGACTTGAGGAAGAAAATCAGACAAAAAGCAGCCTTGCCTCAGATGTTGAAGACAATTGGGGAAGAACTTGATTTCTATTTAAAGGGCACTTCTGCTTTGCCAGTTCTGAAGTGCAATGTGTGGAAAGGAGAGATGATTATGCCACACAATAGGCTGCATATAGACACAAAAGAAGGCTGAAATTAAAACAGATTTCATCATATAAGGCATGATGTAATGATTTCTGTCCTGCTTACAGCCATAACTGAGAATAACAATTAATTACATACCCAAACAAAGAAAATAGTTGAGGCTGCAGGTAGTTCATAAGTAATAAAACCAAAGCCAATCTAAAGGCCAAGAGGCTGAGTGCATTTTCTACTTTATTAATTAATTTTGATCCAGACCAGAACAGACTAGACTAGAAATAACCATCCACCTGCTCTGAGCACCCTGCCAATTATTTCAAACTACAGACCCAAATTGCAATATGAACAGCTCCCTGCTTCTAAGAAAGCACAATACCCACTCAGATATTCCTACCTCTGCTTTTCCACCAGCACTTTAATTCATTTCTCTTTCTCCCAGTGCCAGGTCAAGTAGATGAATATTGCAAGCACTGCTGGTAGATGCAAAAGCAAAGTATTCTTTTCTTTTCCTCACTTTTCAATGAAAAGTAGGGAATGTTGCCTAAAGTGCAATGAAAATACGTTGCAGTGTCTGTTTTTAGAAGCAGGCTTGTAAATTATTAGGCTTTTGTTCCTTGTTCTGACTTTTCTTGAGAGACTGCTTTTTCTCTTCTTTTCTGTGCTTAGCTACTCTGTAATATTTTGACCTAAGAACTTCCTCTCTGCTCTCTTCTACCTTTTAACTCACTAGAGCTCGAGAGGATGAGTAGCAATATTGCTTTTAGCAGGAGAAAGGTATCTGAAAATCTGCCAGTGTTCTAGCTATTTAACCACCACATCTTTCTCTCTTTTAATCTCAATAGAGGTTAAGTTCAACAGTAAATCATGTATTATCCTAAAAGAATGAACACCTTAATAGTTAAGATTCTTAACAATTAATTTAACAGGTGTTGCTATTATGTAGATATAAACCAAGCAAACTGTTTTTTCCAAACACATGAAAGTGTTTCTGTGTTACAATAGTTGTGAAGCCATAGGTGAAAACCTACCACCCTGGAAATCAATGGCAGAACTTCTTAGAGTGCCAGTACCTAGATTTTCAAACAAATTAAGTGCCCGAATCCCTTTGGAAAGCTCAAATCAGTCACAGGCAATGCCACCACAATATCCAGATGGTTTGGGTGGGGTCTGTAAATCAGTTTACAGTCTGCAGAGTAACCCCATGGCAGTGAGAGCAGAATTTAGCAAAGGACTGCTGAAAGAGTTTAAGAGATTCAGATGCCCATATCCATAATTCCTCCTTCCACTCCTGCTACAAATATTATCCATTCATGCCTCATCTGACTTCCCACAGCTGGCTGTGAGGCTGCAGACACACATTCTCTTCTGGAGTATCTGTGCTGCTTGAAGAGGTTCTGCCCCCAGCCCAAACCCATCTGTCTGCTCTCCCTCTTGCTCTCTCCCTAGTTTTCAAGTCACCTGATATCCTCCAAGTCTTCCAGCTGTCTGTCCAAATCTCTCTGATGTTACCAAGAGCCACTAAAGGCTGGGCCACAAAGTAAGAAATGAGGAATTCTTTCCTCGAAAAGGAAAAACATTTTTTTTCTTTTCTAATCAAGGAAAAAAAGTGGAAAAGATGACATCTATTTTTTTTTTCATCCCAAAGTCCAGGACAAAAGGTGGATTTCTCCTTGGCTTCACCCTATTGTTTCCTTCATGTTTTATAGAACAGAAAAGCCAGCATGGTAAATGTATGTTGTATTTCAGATCTGATCTGAATTATGCTGCAGGGAAACCCATCCCTTCTCCAGGGGATGCACAGGATCCCCAGGGATGAGAGGCTCTCTGTATCTTTCCCTCTCTCCCCTACTTCAGTATGGAATCCTTAAGTTTTGGTACAACATGTGTCATACAAGCTCTGAGCTGAAACTTGATGCGCATATTTTTTGCTGTTTCATTTCAGGAGATGAGCTCTCCTGGTACATAAATAAATCTGAAGGTGACTGCACCAGATGAAATATTAATAAAAACTCCTCCTTCCCACTTCTCCCATATCTTTGGTGATTCTTCGTGTCCAGGCAAACCAGGTAAGTGACTTTCTGAGCTGCAGCAGATGCTCCTTCTGCCCTTATGGCTCCTCATAAGCCCCTGCTGCAACTCCTGAGCCCTGGCTGGCTGCTCCCAGTATTTCTGGTCCCTGTGTTTGCTGCAGGCTCCCGGTGCCCTGCTGTGCACAGCTCCTCCCTGCTCACCATATGCTGTATTCCCTGAAACCTCTTTCTGCTCAGGTTTAGTTACTCTCTTGATCAGGAACAATGTTCCCCTTCCCAAAACATTCACCTAATAATGCCCTTTCAAAGGATTTTGCTGCAGAGACTGTGAATAAACAGATGCTCTCACAGGGAAACTGAAAGTCTTTGCTTAATCAAAGGGTGTTGCGTGGCCTATTTAATATTAACAAAATTGACTTTTAAGCATAATTCTCAGAGAGCTTTGATACACAACTTGCCTTCTCTGTTTCATAAAAAGGCTGAAAAGTGCTTCAGCATTTCTAGGCCGTTGCCTTCTGTTGTTTGAGTAGCAGCAAACAGTTTTGTGTTGCTCCTAAGTACCTTTGCTTGGATGCAAAAGCATATTTGAAATGGTATCAAGACCTCCTTTAAATTTCCTATCCAATAAAAGGGGAGGAAAAAAGGTATGGATGTGGTTTCTAAAATTCCATATTTGGTGCCCTTTAAGTTTTGCAATCCCATGTTCTTGAGATTCCTTACAGACATATTGTAAGGTTTAGAACTGACTAAAGGTGAACTTTATTAAATAAATTCATTATAATGGTATTTCATAGGTTTGGGCTTGCGATTAGTGGATTTAAGACTAGAAGAACATGATCATATAAATCGTCTTATTGAAGTTAACAGGGCTGTTCTTTGAAGAAAAATGCCACTCAGCAGAACACTTAAATGTATGCATAGCTCTAAGCATATGTTTAAGTTCAAATGAAGTCAATCTTTTGGTTTTAAGAGGGCTCGACTGTGCTTTTTTCCTTAAAACATTTATATTAATATACAGGGTGGTTGCTGCAGTAGCCTTGGGGTGTCATTAATGTTTTAAAAACAATAGTCTTTCTAAGCACTCATGAACATTAGATAAGAGAACTACTATTAGTTGGCAGCAAGCTTAAGGCCTTAAAAACTCTGTCATCTGATAGTTTATTAAACATTCATATGTATTTTACAGATGCAAAGATGAGCATTTAACTGCATCCCAGTTGCTGAAGTACTACTGCCATGTGTTGTAAATAGAAAGTTGCCAGAGTGCAGTTCAAGAATGGTGGTAAGGAAAGGATTTGCTATTTCTAGTGTTTCTGCCTACATACTCAGAAAAAAAAATATTGTGGATTTGCTCTGAAAGTCATTTTCCTTGGATTGTTTTGGAATATCCCTTCCCTTGTAGACTAATATGAAGGGATGGGAAATCGCTTCCTGTGGTTATACTTCTCTGTGGTGGGCACAGCACAGCGTGATGAAGGAGCATTGCTGACACAGCAGCCACTTCAATGCATCTCCCTTACAGCAAAAACTGCACTGCATAGGGGTAGTTTGAAGGCAGAAGTTAATTTATTATATTTCTGTAACAGAGGCACCTAATGTCTTAATTACAAGAAAGTGATACAGAACTAACAGGAACATTCTACATTATTAAACAAGGGTATGGAGGTTGAATGTATTTTTTTCTCTATACACGTAGGGCGCTGTATATACAAAGGAAACTTTTAAAGTAAGCATTCCAAATCTAACTCTCAAGGTCCTTATCATAGGTAATCTATCAAGAAATGCAAAACAAACAGCGCTGTTAATCCCCCTGCTTCATAAGTGTATCTGCGAGTTACTTGGCAGCACAAAGCTCCACAGAGCACCATTTCCCTGACTGAGGGAGAAAATCATCCCATAATTCTTTCTCCCCCTTAATTTCCAAATCAATTTTTACAAGAGACTCAAATTGTTTGATATCTGCAGCCACCACTCTCTCTAAAAGTGAAGGATACTGCTACTGTCCTGTTGGTGGCCATAGTTCATACCTTAAATTGTCCCCAAACCTACTGACTATCCTTTAGTAAGGAGTTTCATTCACATCAAAGAACTGAATGAAACATTATATCAAAGGTTATAGTCCCTTTGGCCTAAGGATCCTTTTATCTAAAGTAAGAATAATGAATGAAAAAACAGCAGCAGTGATGATTGAACAAATCTGGCCCCTTCATATTTGAGCAAACCTTCCTGGTCATCATTTTACATGACTGAGATTAGCCATGTTTTTGCAAATGACCAGGTACATTCATAAAACCAGGGAGAGGGAAGGACTGTAATCACATAACCCAGGAGCCCTTCGTTGCCATCTCTCATCTGGAGCCTGAGCTCTGCAATATAACACCTCGTTGCTGTTGTCTTGAAAAACAACATTCTCATTTGCAGAAATGGGCTGATAATATGATATTTTTTTAAAGTTCTGTTCCACATAAATGCACAAAAGTAGCAGGTTCACATCACTGTACTTTCTCCTGGATATGAAACGGTGCAATTCAGAAGAAATTCAACACTGCCTCTCCTTTAAAGCCATGTACAGATACACATGAATTGAAAATAGCAAAAGTCCTTCCTTATCTGGCTGTGGGTATTGAGAACCAGTACAATGGGTAAATGTTGATTAAATGTCAGATACACTGCACTGGGCAGTGCTTTAGTTAGTGGTTTCTATATATTCAAAAAAGAGATGCATACTTTCAATTAAAAGCTCTGTGGAAATAGGAAGACAGTAGTGCTCTTGTCAATAGAATGCAGAGAAATACCAGAAGTCCCATTCAAACATTTCCAAGCTTTTATACAGCAAAGTTATGCAGCTCTCAGAAATATATAATATCAGAAATGTAAGCTTTTAACATTGTTGTTCTGTTCCAGTGAATGGCAGTAAGTAAGATATTTATAAAGTTTTGTTTTGCCACTCAAGAACCCAGTATAAAACCTATTAAATTTGTAATTAGAAATATATTTTATTCTTTTTCCAAATTCCAGTCTGTACTCTGGAAGTCAAGATGCAAACTTCCTGTCACAGGCATTGAGAATAAAGAAGGCTCTTTGCCAGAGTAGGCACAAATTGATACCTGAATAGCTTCATTTTTTTAATGCATTTGCACAAGACTAAAACTTATTAAGCAGCTTATAGGATGCTGGTGCAAAGGAGGTAACTTCCATTCCCCTCTTCCCTCTGATCTGGTTCTCAGGAGCTGAGAAAAAAACAAAATAGTTTTTGTCATAACAATCAGCAGGATAAGGTGAGTGGTGTCTGAAGAGTGCACAGGGAAAGGTGGTGTTCTTACATGTTCTTTTCCAACTTGAACCAAAGTTTGACTTTCCCATACAGAAAATTCTCACTGAGCTGGTGTAAGGGAGCTGTGAGCAAGTTATCCTCTGAATGTTCATGGGTGGTTTCACCTAGAAAAACAGAGATTAGATCTAGTCCACTCACAGCTGGATTGAGTGGACAGAACTGGCTGGGCATTAATCCTTAAAATACACTGTGATATGCAAAAATTAGGCAAGTGTGATCAACCAATATGGCATACATATGCTCACTATTGCCAAAGTTCAGAGCTGTTGTGGTCTAAATAATTATCCAACAGAAAGATGGAGATATTTGTTTTGGAAGATCACCTCAATATTTGGCACTGTACTTCTTAACAGATTATTTGAACAGCATTTGGGAATCAATCTATTGTTTTATTTAAATTAAAATTTACAGAAATAATGTAAAGTTGGCCTGTGAGTCTTCTGAGCATTCTTACAAATTTCTTTTGTTTTCAGTTCTTCCTTGAATTAAAAATAAAGTTCCCATGAATGGAAATTTCCTCTGGCAGTTGGTATTTAGAGAAGCACTTCTATAGCTGCAGCTTAGCGTGGATGTTAAGGAATAACAGAAACTTTTTAAATTATAGAACTAATTATCTACACGCAGCTGATCAAACACTTTGCACTTCTAGCTGTGAGCACAGCTCACCACATCTGTTGGCCTCTCCCTGGGTGAGTCTGCGCTGCAGTTGCTGCTGTGAATGTTATGGAGTGGAGACACACCAAAGGCAGCATTAAACTAACCAGCCTTGGATTTGTTAGTGTGACAGCACAAAGCTTAGTGGTGGCTTTTTGCCTGGAGTCTCACCCAGCCACTTGCTGGGTGTTGGAGCCAACAGTGAGTTTTGGGGGTGCCACAGAGCTGGGCAGCTGCAGCTGCTGTCAGCTGTGAAGGCTAATGCTGCTTGTCCTTCACAACCTCTTCCTTCTACTGTTTTTTGGTTTGTTTTGATTTTTTTTAAGTTAATTTAGTTATACAGAAAACTCCCTGGACCTACAGATTGAACTTAATGTTCTTAGAGGACAAAGGGATGACTGTAAATTGGCACAACATCAAATAGGGAAAGAATCCAAGCAGACTTGAGGTAGTTTATCCCTCCATGAAAAAATTGAGTATCCTTGACTTGTAGCTAAGTGAAAGAGGAAATTTGTTGGGATAGGTCCAGTGTTGTCATGAGTATATTGTATTGTGACTATTATTTAATATTCAAAATATCCTTTTCTCACTTAGGTTTTGAGGACTTGTAGAGTTGCAGAACACAAGCACTATTAATGTACAATGTACTTACCCTCAACTATCACACAAATGGACTGTGTGTTAGACTGCAGGAATAATCTATCTGAAAACACAGAGATTTCCACATGCAGGACTGGAAATGCTTTCATCCATATGCCTTGGGAAACCCTCCACTCCTATCTTGTGCATAGTCACTTACTTGTGCTGCATGTCCAATAGTAATCCATATATCCATAGTAATAAAAAGGCATGTGGTGTTCTGTTCCATGTTTATGGATAAGAACAGTGCTAGAAAGCTTTATGATGCTCCATATTCTCTTTGAAAGTAGAAATGAAAAAGCAGTTGAATCCTTTTTCTTCAGCCTCCTGCCATTCTTCCCCTTTCAGGATTAGCAATTGTCAGCCCATTGTTTAAAAATCCCTTGTCCTGGTGCTGTTTGCAGTGCCCAAAGCACTTGCTTTATCTGACTAACAAAAAGCTTCTTTTTATTGTTACTTTTCCCTCCACTGGGTGAGAGAATAAGGGCAAGTGATTTTTGATTTAACCTCCTGCTGCTGAGTTTTCAAATTTTAAATTGTTAACAAAAAAGAATGCATGTTTTCAGTGCTAAAAGCTCTGATTATACCACAGCACAAATTTATAAAAATCAAAGGCAGGCAGAGAATAGCAAGCTAGAGATACGTGACTCTCTATCTGCGGGCCTCCTGTAATACAAATTGAACTTTCTCAAGAAAGCAGCTGCAAAGAGAGAGACTGTTTTACCAAGTCTTAGACTGTATCCATTTTTGATAGATTTAGTTAACCTACAAGGGAACAACAGTATTGACATATATCACTTTGAAAAATGCCAGCTGAACGAGGTATTTTTGTTTCCTGGGTTACATGCTGAAGCCGTGTCATTTATTCTGCTTTTTTTTCTGTCCCTGCTAACACATTCTGTTCCTGTATTTTATGATTATATGTTCACTCTCTGAACTACCCCAGAGATATCGATTACATTTTTGGAGAGTGAACAGTATTTCAAGCAGCCTATAGGGAACTCTCACTTTTGTTCCTATTTATGTAATTGTTTGGACTGGAAATATAATTAGATGAGTAAAATTATTATCCTAAGGCTCCTTTAAACCTGGTGAATAATTTTTGGTTGGAAGATTTCTGGTTCCGTAGTTTTCCTCACCTGACATCACACATGAGAAAGAATTGCTCCTAAAGAAAAAAACTGATGAGATTAGTTAAATTTGGGTGTTGCCTCAGTGGGTTTTTCCTAAGAATTAATCACTGCCTAGGCCTGTGCCTTCAGAGTCTCCATCCTGGAAGGATAATGAATATTAAGGAAAGGAACCTTTAGGTTTTTTGAGTCTTCATTAAAACTATGGATACAGTTGCCTGCTGAGGCACCTCATGATGCAGACCCGGCTTTGGGATTTAAGGTTCAGATCTGTTAAGATTCGAAGCATGACCAGAAAACTAAAACAATATGGACAATGTCTCCACTGCTTTTACTCACAGCCTGTCTGGTGAGAGGAGTTTGGGTCAGGCTTGTCGAGAACATTTGATGTGAACAAAGCTTTTACACGAGAGTTGTTCTGCTTTCCTTTCATTCTCTTTTCTTCTATTTCCTACATGTATAGGGCAGAGTCTGCTCTCGCTGTGGTGTGCTGACACCCCATCACATTTGGGTGCACGAGGCACA